TTGTTGGGGAGAGGGGGGCACACAAGCTCTGGAGATAGATCTGGTGTTTAAAACCAAATTCTTGGAGACAGCACTCTGGTGCAGCAGGTTAAGCTGTGGCCTGCAGTGCCAGCATCCCGTATTGGTGCTGGTTCGAGTCCCAGCTGCTCCACTTCTGATCCAGCTCCCTGCTAATGCACCTCAGAAAGCAGTAGAGGATGGCCCAAGTGCTTGGGACCCTGAACCACGTGGGAGACCTGGAGGAAGCTCCAGTTCCTGGCTTCAACCTGGCCCAAGAGTGAACCAGTGGATGGAAGATCTCTCTGTCTCTCCTCCTAACTCTGCCCTTCAAATTAATAAATAAATAAACAAATTCTGCCATTCACTAGCTGTACAACATGGCAGGCTACCTAAATCAGCCTGGTTGCTGCCTGTGTAAATGTGAGTAATAAAGTATCTCTTGTGAATGAAAGGAGACAGTGTATTATCAAGTGCCTGGCTGCTAGAAAGGAAGCAGTGTTCATTTTATTTTTCAACTACCAGGTCTCCAAATCCTCTCTAGCCAAACGCAAATGCCTGGCAGGTATTTTCAAGGACACTCGATAACATCAAAGTCCTGCCTCACACTTCATTTCAGCTAAAGCTCTCTCCCAGAAGCATTCCTTACTCTCATTTGGCCAAACTTCCAACCCTGTGGCCAAACTGCCTCCACCTGGGCACCAACCCATTAGCTGCCGCTTCCTGCTTCCCTCAAATGGCCATAAGCCTGCCACGCTGCCCCTGAGCACGGCCTGAGCTGACAGCTACGTAACTTATGGATGACTGATTGTCTGCGATCCATTCAACCTGAAGCTACCACGAACTATTGCAATACCAGCAGTGCCCCTGGCGGCAGGCAGCATTGCATGTTTCCACTGGGTTGCTTCTTTCTTTATGTGCTACTCTTCAAACATCCAGATTACCTTGTGGCCCATCATACTGGTAATTCCCAGGACTCACAGCGGATGCTACAATCTGTTTGCACACCTACTATTACTGCTGCCTTTTCTCCTGACTTCTCACTGTACTCCTTTCACTTCCTCTCTTCTGATCGTCCTGAGCATTTCTCCACTTCTGACCATGCCTTGCCTCTTGAGCTGATCAGCCTTTCTGCATTGCTATGTCTTCCATATAGAATGCTCTTTACTATTTTTTTTTTTTTTTTTTTGGACAGGCAGAGTGGACAGTGAGACAGACAGAGAGAAAGGTCTTCCTTTTCCGTTGGTTCACCCCCCCAGTGGCCACTGCGGCCGGCGTGCTGCGCTGATCCAAAGGCAGGAGCCAGGTGCTTCTCCTGGTCTCCCATGGGGTGCAGGGCCCAAGCACCTGGGCCATCCTCCACTGCACTCCCGGGCCACAGCAGAGAGCTGGACTGGAAGAGGGGCAACCGGGACAGAATCCGGCGCCCCAACCGGGACTAGAACCCGTGTGCCAGCGCCGGAGGATTAGCCTATTGAGCCGCGGCGCCGGCCTCTCTTTACTATTTTTTAAAGGTTTATTTATTTATTTGAGAGGCAGAGTTACAGAGAAAGAGAGGGAGAGACACAGAGAGAGCAGTCTTCCAATCCATTAGTTCACTCCTCAAATGACCACAACGGCCAGAGCTGTGCTGATCCAAAGCCAGGAGCCAGGGGCTTCCTTCGGGTCTCCTACGTGGGTGCAGGGGTCCAAGGACTTGGGCCATCTTCCACTGCTGTCCCAGGTCATAGCAGAGAGCTGGATTGTAAGTGGAGCAGCCAGGACTCGAACCGGCACCCATAGGGATGCTGGAACTGCAGGTGGTGGCTTTACACACTATGCAATACTGTTGGCCCCATCTCTTTACTATTTTTAGCTAGCAAATTCACCTATCCTCTGAGCTGCTGTCGCCCATCTAGGAAGCTTTTCCTACCCTGCCTTTCTACCTATTCATTTCTTCCCTCTGCTCACACCACAGTTGGCTCATATCTCTCACTCCCTAGGCTCTGAGCTCCTGGAGGACAGGAACTGTGTCCTATTCATTTTGTGCCCCTAGCACCCAGCCTAATGCCTGGCTTGTGACAGGCCCTGACAAATATTTGCTGAATGGATGAATGAATGAAAGAATGGCTTTGCATTCATCTTCGGGTTGTCATTGTGTGCAAGAATGACCTATGGGGGACTCTCTTTGGAACCCAGGCCTGGCCATTGGGAAACTGTCAGGATTCTCCTTGTGTGGATGATGATAGTCCCCCTGGGACTGTGCTTATTTTCACTGGCCATTTCCAGAGTGCTCCCAAGTGTGAGACCAGGCTTTTTTTTGCATATGTTATCTTATGTGGGTTGGAATTCGTCAGAGTTCCCAATGGCACAGCACAGAGGCTGGCTCAGCGCTTCACCAATAATTGCTGTCATGTGTCTGTCTAGAAACATGATCCCTGCTTCCCTTCTGCCTGAACACATCAGAACACAGCCCGGATCCATGCTCATCACCCTGACAGGGCAACAAGGGTGAAGGTTACACCTGTCACCTGATGGTCACCTGGCCCTGCCTCTGGCATGCTCAACAGGTGCTACTTGGCTTAATTTAGGTCGACATGTGCTTTGGTTTCCCTGCAGCTGCCTGTCACATGTGCCTGGCCCAGGGGAACTAGGCTGCACGAAATGCACCTGCTGGTGATGGTCCACTGAGAAACGTGATGAAACTGCCCAGAAGATGCTGGAATTGAAATTCTGTTGTGACTTGGAAGACTAGCAGGTGGTGACTAAGAACATCCGAATTCCAGGGCTGGGTGTTGTGGTGCAGCTGGCTAAGTCAGTGCTTGCGACACTGCCATCCCGTCCTGGAGGGCGCATTCAGGTCCTGGCTGCCGCACTTCCCAGCCAGCTTCATGCTAATGTGCCTAAGGAGGCAGCAGGAGATGGCACATGTGCTTGGGCCCCTGCCACCCACATGGGAGACTGGATGGAGTTCCAGGTTCCTGGCTGCAGCCCAACCCATCCCTGGCCATTGTGTGGGTAGTGAGCCAGAAGGTGGAAGATCTCTCTCTCTGTCATACAACTATCAGAGCTTCACCTTCAATCCAGGTTACTTTGATTGTGGCAAAGGGGTTAGATCTAAACGATGGAGACCAGCACTTCTAAGATGCAGCTGCCTTGAGCTCATGAAGGGGAAAGTGCCAAAGACGACGTCTCCTGTGGGAAGAAGCCATGTCACTCACCACCAGAGCCTGACAAGACTGATAACCAGCGCATCTGTGAGAAAGCCATCTATGAATGTGTGCATTAATAAATGATGAATGAGTAAAGGAATGAGCCACCTAGCCCAGGTGCCTGGCACACAAGAGACGCTCACTAACTGCTGCTTTCCCTCCCTCGCTGTGGAGGGCGGAGGCCACATTTGCAGTCTCTGTGCCTGGCACTTGGTAGGTCTTGATGGATGTGTGCAGGTGGGAAGACTGACTTGCAGGACCGCCAGCCCTCGAGGCCTTCAGGGAACGTGTCTTCTCAGCCATGAGCAGACACCAGAGCTCGGCGCTGCAGGCGGTGGTGCGCTGCCTTGGACAGGGCTTCCCTCTGCGGCAGGGGAAGGACCACCTGTCTTCCAAGCCGGCCCTGGCCCAGTGGTTGCGCAGACTCAGGGTCAGGCATAGCTGCCCCCACAGTGCAGGGGAGCAACAAGCGCATCCGCTGCAGGGCAGCCAGTCATCGGGACGCGGCCACCAGCGAGCGGAGGAGGCGCTCTGTCAGCCTAATGCACCGCCTGCCGCCCCCGCATCCTGCCTGGCTTTCTCTGGCTTCTCAGCACCTCAGCTCTCAGTGCTCTGGGCCTGGTGAGCGAGTCGCTGATGTCTGAGAGAAGAGGACCTGGTGCACAGTAACTGCTCAGTAAGTACTGGTGGAATGGGTAAATGGATAAATGAAAACAGGGCTGAAGGAAGAGACAGGCTGATGGATGTGTGGCTATTTTATTGGCACAGGGTCCTACAGGGCAAAGACCACACCCTCCCCACCCTCTTCCCTGTAAAAATAAACTTTGTCCTTCCTTCTCCCTGTCTGCTTTTCTGCTTGGTCCAAGGAGAATCATTCACCCCACAAAGACTAGGCCCTAGGACACAGGACCCAGTACCCCCCCAACATACACACTTCCCCTCTCAACCCAGGGAAATGATGGGGCAGGGGGCAGCAGGAAGGCATTTAAAGGCCTTGGAGCTCCCACTAATAGCTGGGCACAGCTGGTCCATTGGTGAGGGTTGGTAGCTATATTGGAAGCGGCGGCACAAGAGCGCGGGGCTAGGGCAGCCCCTGAGGGCAGGGCTGAAGGGAGCTGAGTCCACTCTCATGTGAGCACTGAGTGAGCTTGGGGGAGAAGTGGGTGAGGCCCACCACCCAGGCCCTGCATGGGCAGAGTGGGGCAGGCACAGCAGGCCCCTCGGCCACCAAGCTGAGCAAGCCTGGGGCCAGAAGAGGCAGACTCCTTCCTGTGAGGACTGGCCCCGCTGCCCAGACCTTCTCTGGGCAGGGTGACATGGAAGGATGTCACAGTGAGTGGTGGGGGCTCTGCTGGAGGCAGGGGCACCCCCAGTGCAGAGGCACAATGTGATGGTTGAGAGGGGACCGGGACTCATGTGATGTGGAGGGACTGGACCCAGCCCAGCTTATGTGGGCTTACTCCAGGGCCAGGAGGAGACAGCTTTGCCAGACAAGCTGCCCTGGGCCATCCCACCCCAACCCAGCTCCCACCCCAGACCCCAGGCCTACCACACCTCACACAGCTGCCCTGGGTTCATGGGGGAGCCCACAGGGCAGCCGAAGTGCCGCAGGAAGTCACGGGAGTTGGAGAGGGTGCCCAGCACGCGGAAGCGGGCAGGGCTGTGGGGGTCGGTCACCAGCCCCTCGTGAGAGCTCTCTGGTGTGCGGACCGAGCACCACACCTGCAGGCCGGGACAGACATGGGGACGTAGGTGTCTGGTGTGGAGCTGGGCCACAGACTCAGCTGTAACAGAGCCACTCCTGGCCCTCTCTGCCCTGACCCTTTGCCACCAGCACCAAGGGCAGGGACCACGCCCTCCTCCCCAGCACCCCCAAAGCCCTTCAAAAGTTGTACTGGATCTTGGGTTGCCAAGGCCGGACATGGCTAGGGGGTGGAGGGGGCTGAAAGCGGAGCCCCCGAGACTACCTGCTGTGGCCCAAGCACCCAGGGCAGCCCTTGGCCAAGCCCTCACTCTGCTGCTTTATTCCTGGTGGCCCTGAGCTCAGGGTCTGCTCCACACCTACCTCACAGGCACGCTGAGCATCAACACCTGCTCCCTCCCCTTGTCCCCATGAGATCTGCAAAATCCCACCCAAGACCCCCTCCCTCCCGGGGAGGGGGTGAGGCTCCCGGCACCAGGCCTTCCCAGCCCACCTTCCGCACCCCAACATCGCTCCCATCTCCCAGCCTCTTTGCTGCATGCCCAGGACACTAACGACCTGCGCAGGAGGCCATGAGAGGTGAGATGCCCAGGCCCCAGGCCCTCCTAGAACCCATACCTGGGCGAATCCCACAAAGAAGAGCTGGTGGTTGTTGAGGCCCACGGCCGGCAGCTGCTGCTCCTCGCCGTGCTTTCTCAGCCACGCTTTGTAAGCCTGGGGTCAGCACAGGGCTCGACAAGTGCTTCGGGCACCCCCCGCCCCGCATCCCCCACCTCAGGCCAGCTGGAGGGCCACTCACATTGTAGGCGGCCTTCAGCCCCCCGTTGTCGGCGATGTTCTCTCCCAGTGTCTGGCGGCCGTTGAGCCTCTCGCCGTTGACCTGGTACTGGTTGTACTGCTCCTCCATGCAGGCTGTGTGGTTCCGAAAGGCCGCCAGTGACGCGTTCTGCCACCAGGGCCGCAGGTTCCCTTCCTTGTCATATTCGCGCCCTGTGGAGAACTCACCTTTGCACCCAGCGGGACCAGCGCTCAACTCCTGGGGGCAGGAGTGCCCCCACCAGGCCCCGAATATCCCAAAGCCTTGCGGGAGCCACTGGGAACTCTGGACTGGAGGGTGCAGCTCCAGGGGCCCCTACCTTGGTCATCAAAGGCATGTGTCAATTCGTGGCCCATGACCACACCAATGCCACCAAAGTTCAGGGCCCTAGTGGGTGAGGAACGGGGTGAGTCAGACCGTGGTGGGAGGGGTCCTGCTGTATCCCACCCCCAGCCTGTTCCCAGCTCAACCCAGAGGCCCCGGGTGCCAGCACCCTAGGCCCTCCTGCCTCAGCCATACTTGGGATGGTTGCGGGCATAGAAGGGGGCCTGCAGGATGCCAGCAGGGAAGACAATTTCATTCTTGGTTGGCAGGTAGTAGGCGTTCACCGTCTGGGGCGTCATGCTCCACCTGGGGGAAGAGGAGGCAAGAGGTCGAGGCTCCTGTGGCCCTTCCCCGCCTAGCTGCCCTGCCCGATCTCCTGCAAGGGCTCTGTGCCTCTGGTCTGGGATTGCCACCCTTGCCCCTCTCCCTGCAAACCTCCCCCCACCCTTCCTGCTGCCCCAACTGCCTGCGCCCCAGCCCCCACGCTCACTGGTCTCGACTAGGAGGCTTGCGCAGCTGGTCAGCCATCACCTTAGCGGAAAAGTTGTACAAATTCAACATGTTTTGGAAGAAGGAATCTTCAGAGACTTCGTACTACGGGAGTGTTGGGAAGCAGAATGCGAGTGAGAACATGTTAGAGAAAATAATAGTCCCAGCATGGCTGCTAATTAGTGCCTCTGCAAACCTCAGTTTTCCCAGCTATGAAATGGGGTAAACTACTTAGTAAATGGTGCTTGCCAGGATATAAACAACACTTAACGTTGCAGGCAGTGTGCTTTTTGTTTTGACATTGTTCAAATTTTTATTTATTTGAGAGGCAGAGAGAGACAAAAACAAAGAGATCCCACTCATTGGTTCACTTCACACAGGCTAAGGCTGGGCAAAGCTGAAGCCAGGAGCCAGTAACTCAATCCAGGTTTCTCACACAGATAGAAGGGACCCCAACTGCTTGAGCCATCTCCTGCGGCCTCCCAGAGGGCAAATGAGCAGGAAGCTGGAATCAGGAGTGGAGCCAGGATTTGGAGTATAATGGGACACACACGTCCCAGGCAGCCTTTTAAAACTGTGCCAAGTACCTGCCCTCGTGTCCTTTGTACACACTGCCTTCTTCCTTCTCACAGTAACCTACGAGCTAGGTGCTAGTAGGACATCTGTTTTGCAGGTAAACAGACTAGGGCTCTGAGAGGTCTTGCCCTAGGTTACACAACTAGTTAGGGACAGAAACAGGTGACTCCAACTTGACACCCAGCCCCTATGCGTTCACATGGTATTTCCATACTGCCTGGCCTCAGGCCCAGCACAGACCCTCAGCTAGTGTTGGTTGCTTTCATCTGCCCCTGAAAGGGCCAAGAAGTACCTCCCTCCCTCCATCCCTCCCTCTGAGTGCTCAAGCCCCAGTGACGGAGCCCAAGGAACAGTGCTCCCCCCGGGGCTGAAGTTCAGTACTGGCGAGCACTAGTACTCACCCCATCGTAAACATCATCCAGCTCTTTGGGCTCCAGGATGAAGTCTGGGAAGCCGATCATATCATAGATGGCATCTGCCTGAAAAGACCAGCTTAAGGATTTCCCTGTCCAGGTTCCTAGGAAAACTGTATTCTCCATCCCCACCTCCAGATGGCGCTCCAACCCTAGCCACCGCTCACTTTCTCCTTGGCTGCCTGGCGGGTCTTCTCATCCATCCAAACCAGCTGTTCCAGGGCCTCCTCAAAGGCAGTCCGGATTTCGCTGATCATCCCTTCTGCCTGGGAGACCGGGGACATGACTCAGTCCTCCCCCTGCACTTCCTGCCTCTCTGCTCCCCCACCTCCCCACAGCTCCGCCCCCTCTCTCAGACCCAGGAGCTCAGGCTGTGCATCTGGGAAGGATGAGAAGGAAGGCACTCTGCTTGTGAAGGGTCTGGGATTGGAGGTGGCTTCTGTTGCGATCAGTTTGTAATTGCCAATGTGTTAATTAAATCAACATTAGCATTTCCATGGAGCACTGAGCATAAAAGGAAGCCATCAATAGGAAACTTGGAAAATTGGGAGGAGTTGAAGAGAACAATCACTTAGCGATGACTTCCCGACATTCATGTTCTACTTCTCGTGCTTTTCCCTGCCTGAACACACAAGTGCACACACACACACACACAATATACATATAAAACCATACTGAATAGTCTCTATTTTTTGTTCACTTAAAGATGTATACACACCTTTAGTGTAAAGGCTGCCTCATAATCTACCATACGCACAGCTTACTTTTCCCTTCTCCTCTAAGCTGCATTCATTCCCCTCGATTATGAACGACACCACCATAAACACCTTGTGGATAATGTTTTAAACACAGCCATTATCATCTCCTTATAAATAAGTTTATATTTTCTAGCTATATAGGAAACAGAAACTTATTAAAAATTTTGAAAATATAGAAAAATTTAAAGGAAAAAAAAAACCTCTTCCTGGGATCGGCACTGTGGAAAAACAGGTTAAGCCTCTACCTGCAATGCCAGCATCCAACATGGGCACCAGTTTTGAGACATGGCTGCTCCACTTCTGATCCAGCTCCCTGCTAAAGTACCTAGGAAAGCAGCAGCAGATGGCCCAAGTGCTTGGGCCCCTGCCACGCACATGGAAACCTGGAAGAAGCTCCGAACTCCTGGCTTTGGCCTGGCCATTGTGGCCATTTGGGGAGTGAACTAGCAGATAGAAGATGTCTGTTTATCTCTCTCCTTCTCTTTCTGTATTTCTGCTTTTAAAATACATATTTATATTTTAAAAAACTCTTCCTAATCCGACTGTCTAAAGCAACTGCTGCTTCTGTGTTTATGAGTTTCCTTGCAGTTTTATTTTGTACACGTACACACACATACAAGAGTGAGTTTGAAACAAAACAAGGGGTCGTGCTGGAAGAAATGCATCGACTCACAATTTCCTTGCTTTGCCGGTCAAACGTGGCCTTCACAAAGAGGGAGCCCAGAGCAAAGCCAAGGGCGTCGTCTGTGTTGGAGATGCAGGTCTGCCACCTCGGCAGGCAGGACTGTGAAGGGACAAAGAGGCCCCAGGGAGAGCTCTGTCCCTCAGTCTGGGACAAGCCCGTCTCAGCGCTGGGCAGCACAGGCCTGGGTTTGGCTCCCGTCTCTCACGCTCCAGGGCAAAGGAGGAGCAGCACGTACATCCTGCCAGTGCCGGCAGCAAGGCCTCAGCAGGAGCGCGCACGCTGCCCACCCTGCACTCAGCACTGTCCTCTTCCGTCTCTAACGGGGCCCACGGGAGTCCAGAAGCTTGTTTGCTCAGCTCCACATCCCAGTCTTATACCCGGTAAGGCCCCCATGCCAGAGACCTCGGAGCACCCCAGCTTCCTCCATCTCCCTGACCCCGGCATTCAATCCAGTGCCAGTTTCCATGGACTCTCCTGGGTCCACCCCGTTGGCACCTCCCTGCCCACAACACTACCAGCTCTTGCCTGAAGATGGCAGCTGCCTCCTAACTCAACACCCTGATTCCACGGCCCCCTTCCAGTTAGCCATCATCACCCCCACGGCCCCCCATGTCTGACAGAACCAAACACAGCTGTCAGGTCACTGCATTGGCTGCCCCGTGCCCACCCACACCGACCAAACTCGGCCTCCCTGTCTCCCTGTTTGAGAATTGGGGTGTTCCTTCTGTCTGCTGGGCATGTGCACGCCCTCCCCCGCTTTCTTAGTGGACTCACTCCTCATTGGGCATCTCTCCCAGGAAGCTTTTCCTGAGGCCCTCCCCCACCGCCCCAAAGTGGCTGCACACACCACACACTGGGTAGGCGAGTCATTTACACTAATTAACTAGGTTCATCCTTACGTCAACCCTGCAGGTTATTCCTGTTTTACAGCCCAGGAAAGGGGGAGTCAGAGATTATAGGTGACATGCCTAAGGCCCCAAAGGTTAAAAAAATGGAGGAGCTGAGACTGGCCCCCAAGTAGGCTCCATGGCACATTTTGTCTCTGCATACTCTGCACCTGCGCACCCCGGGGAACACTGTGGGTGTGCAGCAGCAGCTGGCCCGGATCACAGGCAGAGGGCACACCTTCTTGGTGCCATAGAGGGTCTCCAGCAACTTCTCCTGGGCAGACTCAAAGCGTCGGTCGAGGCTGGAGGTTGTCTTCTGCACCAGGTTCCAGATCAGGTAGTTGTTCAGCACACTAGCAGTCGGAAGGGAAAATAAGGAGAAGGTGGCAAGGCACCCTCCCCCTCCCCCTCCCCCTCAACCAACCATAAACCAACCCCCAGGGATGTGCAGGCAGCAGGAGTCCCGGGAGGCACATGTGGCAGCTGCTCCAGAGTCTCTCTTCCCCCCTGGGACCAAAACCCTGCCTAGAGAAGTGAGGGCAGAGCAAGGCGTGGGAACAGATCGCAGTGGGCACCCTGCGACCCTGCCTGGAAGGAGGGGCTGCAGGCGCTCTGACTTGACGCTTGGCAGGTCAGGGGCCTTATCAAATGCTGCTCTGTCTGCCCGTGCCAGGCCACTCTGCCCAGTCCCTCCTGGAGACCCCCAAAGGGCCCTGAGTCCCAGCCCCCGCACCTCGGGTGCTCCTTACCTTGGCTGCGTGCGGTTGATGAGCTCTGACACCTGCTGCAAATAGTCAGTCCCATATACCACCACAGGCTCCGAGTCCCCCAGCTCCAACGGTGACAGCAAGAACGACAGGAACTCCAGCCAGTCCATGGAGGGCGCCAGAGCCTGCGAGTGAGAACATCTCAGGCCACCCGGCTTCCAGCAGACCCTCCCCCCACCCCACCAAGCCGCTGCAGCCTGGGAGCCCTTCGCATTGCCATGGCAACAGCTACTGGCTGCTTGGTAACTCCTTTCTGCAATAAACCCTTTCCCAAGCCTGAGCGCCCCTCAATCTGGGAGCCCCAACCACTTGCTGTACAAGGAAAACCATGTGTGATATTCAGCTGGGACACAGATATTCCAATATTGTCATAACAGTTGATAAAATACCATTCCCCGGGACACCCCCCTCCCCGGCATCCCTGGGCTCCCCTGCTGAGCTCCCCCCACAACCTCTTCAGAACCCAGCTCCTCAAGGCCGGTTCCTAGCACAGGAAGGGCCCCCATCACTGTTCTGAGAGGTTTGTGCACATCTCATATGGACAATGACAGTTTTAACCCAATCCATCCATGACAAGAAAGAGGTGAAAGCATGGGGTGGGCTAGAATGGGACGCAGGGAAGTTGAGAACAGCGAGGGAAGGAGGGAAAGCCGTGGGTGGCTGCCTGGAGACAGCGCCTGCCCCAGCCCCTCCCGATGTCTCTAGCCCCCCCGCCCCCGCCTTCCCCACCTGCAGCTCCGAGATGCTCATCTTGTGATAGATCTTCTCCTCGTCGCGGCGCTGGTCCTGGGGCACGGTGATGTTGGCCAGCTGGATCTCCAGCTCCAGCACCTGCTGCATCTGCTCCCGCGTGGAGCCTGGCCCTCCGCCCAGCAGCAGCCCCAGCTCCTCCATGTAGTCCAGGTAGGCAGTGAGCACCTGTCAAAGCCCTGAGTCACCCCCTGAGCCCAGCAACAGATCCTGCCCGAGGCTGCTGGGATCTGTCTGCTTGGCCCTGCTTCCTGATGACCCCGTTTCATTCTTTATTTAAAGCTTACCCCCGTCTGCGAGATCTTATTTATGTATGCACTTGCTTATTATCCATTTTCCCTAAGAGAAGGCATGTTCCAAGAGGGCACTGTTCCAGATTCCCGCAGCACTGTAAGATGGGGCTGGCACAGGATGGGTGCTCTGTAAAGATTTGTCTGGGGGAAGAGGGGAAGTGGCAGGGGCAGGGGGTGTCATGCCACAGCCGGTTAAGCCACCAAAGCCACCGCCTGCGATGTCGGCAGCCCACATGAGTGCCAGTTCAAGACTCAGCTGCTCTACTTCCGATCCAGCTCTCTGTTAATGAACCTGGGAAAGCAGCAGAAGGTGACCCAAGACCAGGAAGAAGCTTTAGCGATGCCCATATCCAGCTGTTGCAGCCACTGGGGAGTAAACTAGAGGGTGAAGTGCTCTCTCTCTCTCTCTCTCTCTCTAACTCTGCCTTTCAAATAAATAATAAAGCTGAAAAAAATTTTTGTCCAGGGGATAGAGCTACTTTTCCTACTGCTTTGCCTTATTCCCTGTAGCCCTGTGAGTCAGCCCAGTCCATCAGTGACCCGCCAGTGGGCCCCATGGAGAGTTTGGCCCCTGGCGGCCCCAAGTCCCTTCTTTCTTTTCTTTTTCTCTTATTTTCTTTTCTGTTCTTTCTTTCCTTTTTTTTTTTTAAGATTTATCCATTTATTTGAAAGGCAGAGTTCCAGGGAGGCAGAGGCACTTCCCAGATGGCTCCAACAGCCAGAGCTGCGCCGATCCCAAACCAGGAGCCCAGAAGCCTCCTCCAGGTCTCCCACGTGGGTGCAAGGGCCCAAGGACCCGGGATCATCCTCCACTGCTTTCCCAGGCCATAGTGGAGTGCTGGATTGGAAGTGGAGCAGCCGGGACCTGAACCGGCACCTATATGGGATGCCGGCATTGCAGGCGGAGCTACGCCACAGCTCTGCTACACCACTGTCCCCCAAGTCCTTTCTATCAATCATTCTGCCAGGCCTCATGCTTGCTACTTCTCTACTCTTTTCTGGTCATCACAGGACAGAAAAGAAATATTTAGTAGCCCCTTGCATAGCCAGAGCTCAATCTCTGCTAAGAGCTTGAAAGCTAATGTGTCTTCTGCTCCAGGGGGAGGAGACGACTCCAGTCACATCACAAACTGGAAGACCGCAGAGTCAGAACGTGGCCCAGCCCGGATGACTCCAGGGCAACAGCACCACCTGGGCCCAGAGCAGACTGGAGCTGCACCCTCCGCTGCTGGCACGCCCGCTCCGCAAGGGCAGGGACTGTGTTCACTTTGCTCAGGCCTGTAGTCCACAGTGTTTGCCACAGAGTAGCTGCTCGATAAATACCTGCTGCCTAAAAGGATGAGGACTTGCGCTGCTCAGCCCCAGTGCCTTGCTGCCTTCCACCCAGAGATCACTCTCTGCTCTTAACCCGAAGCCCTGGCCAGGCTCCCTCCAATGCCAAGGCCATCTCCTCTTTACAGCCCTTGGTATCCATTCTATGCCCTTTAGAGGTTCTCCTCTTCCACGCCTCTCCTCTTCCTGCTCCTGGTGTTAAAGGAGGGGCTTTGGGTTCTGACCCGAGGCACCCCGGCTCCTACCCAGGATGGTGAGCACAACCAGTGGGTGATCTCACACCAGCCCCTTGCCCACCTCCTGACTTTCAGCTTCAGATCCTGGCAGCTTCCCTGAGCCCTGCTGTAACCTAGTTGTCACCCTGTTTTTACCTTCGGCACTGCAGCATCCCCCGCGTCCCAGCACCAGTGGCCTCCCACCCCGGGGTAACCCGGGACATGCTGCCAGCCAGCCAGTGCCAAGGCATCCCCTCGCCCCTCCCGAAGCATCGGATGAAGCAGAGCTCTCCTGCATTCCCAAGGTTCTGCCATCCTGAGTCACATGAAGTCCGATCACACACACGTCGCCTCACATCCCTTTTCATTTTGTGCAGGATAAATCCTGAACTTGACCCACAGCATCCACATCTCACAAGTCTAGAAGTCTGTTCAAAGGGCTTGGGCCCCTCCCACCCCAGAGCCTTGGCACGGGCTGTCCCCGTGGTGGAACTCTTCCCTTCAGCACAGTGCACCTGTGCCCTGGAGCTGGGCTGACTCTGGCCCGTGCCTCATTTCTCCCCTGTGACAGTCCCAACACCGCCAACAGGGCAGCTGAGGAGCGAGCCGGCTCACTTTCTCTCCCCATGGAGGGACAGTGGCAGGGTCTCGGTGCCACGTGCTGGGAATGCCTGGGGAGAGCTGGCAGATGAGTGACAGGCCGAAGGGCTTTCCTGCTTGTCTTGCCCTGCAGCGCTCTCTTCCCTGCTGCCCTCAAACCACGAAGCTCCCCTTCTGGGCTGTCTGCTTGTCCCTTGCCCTCACTTCCCCGAAGCCCCTGTGTGGTTCTCTAAGGAAAGGCCCCCTGAAGCCCTGGTCTCCTCTCTGCACCGCCACATGCACAGCCATCTGCTGCCTCCTCCCTGCGGAAGGTGCCCAGCACTCCAAACGCCACATCTCAAGTGAGCAGCCCCCTACCCCGAAGGTTTGCCACGTACTGGGGCAGAGACTTGCACTCCTGCACACTTCCCAAGGCCCATGTGAGCAAGCGCTATGATCCATCCCCTTTCACCGATGAGGAAGCAGCCTCAGAGAGAATAACTCACTCGCACCAAGCAGCTGAGCTGGGACGGAAACCCAGGTCTGAGTTCGAGTCTCTCCTGTGACATCATACTGCCTCCTCGCTCCTCAGGTCCCCGAAGCCGTCGTCCTTCAGACACCCCTGCCTCCCTGAGGAGCCCTCCACGCTGCTCTCACTAGGTTGGCAGCCTGAACCATCTCCCCCTTCTCTTCCCCTTTCTTACAGCCAGCTACCCTCAACTCGAGTGTTCTTGACACTTCCTTCGCCATGGCCTCGTGGGCTGTTACTGCCTCTGACCAGAGCAGGGTAGAGACTCTCAGTTCACGTCCAGGTTCCCTGGTGTGTGTCTAGTGTCCATGTCTCCCAGCCCAGCACCACTCGTCAGGTCACTCCCTGTCCTGCAGCATGTAGTGGCCCTCCAAGGGTTCAGAGTAAACTCTGTAGTGACGGCATTCAAGGCCCCCTCTAAAACCAGCCTCCTGGCTGCTTTGGCTGCCACACTGAGCCAAACTGGACTCCTTTGCATGGTCCAAGCACATGAGGCCTACAACCCTTTGGGTTACTGTTCTCTCCACCCAGCATGCTTGCCCCCACTTTCTGGATTCTGAAGGGCCTGGCTTAAAGGCAATGTTTTCGGGAAACTTTCCCTGGCTTCCTGAGCCCCTCCTGAGCCCTTGAGACAGACTCTCCCTCCAGCCTTGTTCTCAGCTGTCTGTGCCCATGAACTCATCAACACTGAAAGCTTCCTGTGACAATGGCCCTGAAATGGACATTCCCCCAGGGAATGCCTGTGGGTGCCTGTGCAATGGTTTCCCGGGAGAACAGAGAAGGAAGGACCACTGGCTCCCTAGGCAACAGGACAGGCTCACTTTCCCTGCTCTGACCTTGGATTGAGGGAAAACTCAACAGGCATTAGCCCCACTGAGCAGTGGGCATGGCTGCTCAGGATAACCCTTACTTTCTCGTTGGCAGTTCTGTTTAAGTAGTAATCGCGAGAGGGCAGAAAGAGCCCGGACTGGTCCACCTGCAACAGCAAGGAGAGAATCTGAGTCCTCCCTCCCATACAGAACCCGGACCCCTATGCAGGAGCAGGACGGGGGCGGGGGAGGAGGGGCAGGGGAGGAGAGTCTGGGCTCAGCAAAGGGTCCTTAAGTCCCTCCCCCAGCCTGGCACCTGGATGACATTGCTGTTGGAACTCTTAGAGTCGGCACTGATGTAGACGGTGAAGAATGGGGTGGCCCTGTAGGTCCCCGCTACTGCCTTCAGCACCTCCATGAAGTTATCCTGGTCCCAGGGCCCCGTGATGTTCCAGCCACCGATCTGAGTACAGACCACAGGTGGTACCCATGGCACAGGGACCCCCACAGCTTTCTTGGATGGCAGCGCCCCCCCCCCCGGCACCTGCAGACCACCCAGCGGGGCTACCTTGTCAATGAGGTCTCGCAGGGGCTGGGCTCCCAGCTCCTCGATGCGCTCAACCTGCAGGCAGGACAGGTAGAAGCGCTGTGTCTTCCGCTCGGCTTCGCTGCTGGAGTTGAAGGTGCTGTTTTCTGTGGGGCAGACCATGGTGTCCAGGTGGCAGTTAGGTGAGCAGCTGAGGGGGCGGCCCACTCCCGGCCTCCTCAGCGAGCAGTCCTCTCATGGAGCCATGGCTGCGGTGTGCTGCCTGCAAATGGCAGCTCACAGCTTCCGCTCCCGGCCCACACAGACATTCAGAAACACCTAAGCACTACGGCCTCCCTGGCATGCAGGACAGCACAGTGGTCCAGCAGACCGCTCCATTACACTCAGAGATCTGCCCCCCCTCGGCTTGGCCTCACGTGTCAGGAGCCCCCTGCTCCAGCCCTCCCCCACCCCCACCCCCAGCATATTCACAGAGCCCTGAGTGAGTGAATGCTCTCCACATGGGGGTACTTCCTGAGTCCTTCCCCAGTGCCAGGCCTGGAGCTGGGCACTGGGCGTGGTCCAGGCACACGGCCAGCCGCTTCCACGGGCTCCTCACCCAGCAGGTGCTTCAGTATGGCCTGGTTCTGGTCCCAGAGGCTGTTGAAGGTGTTCCAGCGAGAACGCCCATCAGGCAGGGGGTTCCTCCGAATCCAGCCTCCGCAGGAGAACTGGTAAAAGTCGTCGCAGGGGCTCACCCTGCGGTCCAGGGACTCCAGGATTTTCCCAGCCACTCGGATGCAGGCCTCGGTGAGACAGGTGCTGTGGGATGGGTCTGTGGCAGGGGACAAGGCCGGAGAGGAGGAGACACTCAGTCTGGGGAGAAGCAAGCGAATTGTCCCAAGGACCACGACAGCAGAAGGGGGGCTGGAGGGGGAAAAGCCATAGACTTTTCCGTGGGGAATGCTGGCCCCAACCAGTATTAGAAAATCTTAGAGCAGCCTTGAGGGTGGGAAAAGGTGTCCACTGCCCACCTACCTCTGTGGTACTGGACCCCCAGCGCCACCAGGCAGCCCACAAGCAGCGCCGCCAGCAGTAGAGAGACCCCGGCCAGCGACAGCTCCAGCGGCGTGCGCGAGCGCAGGAGCTGTCGCGTCGCCTTGCGGAATCCCACCTGGGAAAGAGAGGGACAGCGAGCGCCTGAGCTGCAGGCCGAGGATCCGCCATCGCAGATGTCTTCCCAAAGGGTGAAGGCGCAGGCAGCGTCCAGAGCCACGGAGCAAAGACGCCAAGGGGGTTAACTTCGGACCCGGAGCCACGAGGCAGGCCGAGCGGCGCCCCGAGCCCGTTTGTGCAACGTCATGGCTGAGCTCGCCTCACCATAGTCCCAGCGCAGAGAGGCCCGAGATGGAGCGGAGGTGGGTGGGGGCAGACGACCCTCCAGAACAGCCCAGAGCTCCTGAGTGGGCCAGGCGTCACGCCAGGGCTGGGGCCTGCTGAGCACGGGAGGACCCCCTTGCCCACCTCCACGGCGTCCGGGGAGGCCCCGCCCTCTACGGGGGTCTCGGGTGCGTCTTCATCCCGAAGCGTGGCCCGCTTGTACTCCACCATCTGCCAGACAGTCGGGGCGCCAACCGATGTCAGCCAGAGAGGGCTGGGTGCCCCCCGCCCTGCCCCTGCGCCCCTAGCCCGGCGGCGACCATAGCCCCTTCCCTCCTGCCGGACTCCCCGGCCTGGTGCCCTCTGCCTCCACCACACCCCGTCCTCAGCCCGACCCCTCCACTCCGGTCCTCTCCCCGGGAACCCGGGGGCCCCCCACTCACGTTGCCGTTGCCGCCGCCGCCGCCGCCGCCCAGCTCCTGCAGCGCGACATTCATGGTGGAGTCGGGCCGGGCGGCGCCTAGGGCTGCCCGCGGCTGGCCCTCTCCCGGGCAGCGGCCCCGGACCCCGGCCCGGCCCCGCTACCGCCCATCATCCCAGCCGCCGCCGCCGCCGCCGCCCCTCCCCGCCCTGCCTCGGCCGCCCCCGCCCCGCCCGCCGAGTCCCCCTCCCCCGCGGCGCCCCGCCCTGGGCGGGGGTGGCGAAGGGGATGGGAGAGTGCGCGCGGGACTCTTGGCGGGCAGCCCCTGCGCCTCGGGAATGCCCGGGACCCCCATCTCGGGGGCACCCTCCTGAGAGCCGCCCATCATTTATTTTCTTTCGAGCCAAGACCCAACTGTGCTAATTCTCCTGGGCCCCCGTCCCACAAACTCCAGGCCCTCGCCAAGCCCTTCAAACACCCTAGAGAAACAGCCCCCCACCACCAGTAGTCTCCCAGTAGCCCTCAGCCCCTCATCGGTCAGCCTCCACAGGGCGCACAGGCAGTTCACCCACAAGCAGGGTGTCCCCAGCACCGAGACTCCAAGCACCACACAGACGCACAGCCCAGCACACAGCACACGCATGGCACAGTCTCACACCGCGTGTGCACGCACAACACACCCAGAGCCAACAGGAGAAGCACACGGCCCTTGGGCACCCCACCCATCCCCACCCCAGGGCAGGGGGCCATCCACACACAGCACACACCCACTGACTCTCCCCTGTTGCCTCAAGATGCACTTTTACTCTCCACCATAAGTGCTGTCATCAGATCATCTCATAAAGGGAGGGTTACAGATGGTGACAAATTGGCAGGGAAAAAAACAGCCACACACAGATATTTAAAGAAAAGACGTGCTAACACTTCTAACTTGAGGAAAGCAAACCATTTTATTTGGGAGGTTTACAAGAAAAAAAAAAAAAAACACTAAGCAATATTTAACTGCGAGGCAATAGTGTGGCATCCATGCATCTGCCATCTGCCTTCCATATTGTCACTCCGTCACCAGGCCTGGCGCTGCTGCAGTCGGCTGGTGGAAGAGTGCCCACTGTTTTCTATGCTGGGGGAAGGGGCTGACTCGTCCTGCTCGCAGCGTGGAGATGGCGATGGAGCAAGAAGACTTTTCCTTCCTCCCAGGCCTAAACCCTACTACTGTTCCATGGCCCCGCTCCCTGCCTCCCAGGCCTCCTGAAAGGGGGATGGCTTCTTGAGGTAGTGGCAAATGTGCAATCTATGTCTTGACGCCCAGCTCGCCCTCCGACCTCCTCCTGCTCCGGCATGGACCGTGCTTGTGGATGGTCACCAGATGAGGCTGAGAAGCATGCCCTTGCCTTCTGAGCCACTGCCCGCCCCGGAATCTCAGGTCCCCAAGCAGGAGGCAGAACGGTGTCGCGAGTAGTGAGAGAGAGTCTGGATTCAGACTCAGTTTGCTTATCTGCAAAATGGAAACAAGAATAGGAGTCACTTCAAAGGGTGGTTGGGAGAATTAAGCAACAGGATTTGTCAAGGGCTAAGGAGACTGGCTGCTGGTGGGCATGCGTGTATTATTATCACTTCATGATGATTGCGATCACTGTGTAAACTCTAGCTGGGTATGGGAATTCTAGGACTGGGGAAGCCTGTTCTATTTCCCATAGTGAGGTAGGAACCAGGGGTTGTAGGCTAATCAGGGGTTCCCTGAGCAAGCAGATTTTACAGGCAACCGTACTGGAGTTGGCAGCAGCAAGGACTTGGGAAATCTATGTGGAGCAGGTCTCTGCAGCTGTTCCCGTTCTCTCTGATGACAACACTCACCAACTCACCACTTCCCTCCTCCTCAAACGAATGAAAAGCGGCATGGCAGCAGAGTGGGCCCTGCCCCAGCGGGATGTGTGGGTGTGACTGTTGTAACCAAAGCCACTACGTGAGGACATCCTGGCAATGCAATAGTCAGAAATGCAAAAGGCCCGGGAGCCGGCACCGTGGCTCACTTGGTTAATCCTCCGCCTGCAGCGCCGGCATCCCATATGGGCACCGGGTTCTACTCCTAGTTGCTCCTGTTCCAGTCCAGCTCTCTGCTGTGGCCCGGGAGGGCAGTGGAGGATGGCCCAGGTCCTTGGGCTCCTGCACTGCATCAGACACCAGGAAGAAGTACCTGGCTCCTGGCTTCCGATCAGCACAGCGCCGGCCATAGCAGCCATTTGGGGGGTGAACCAATGGAAGGAAGACCTTTCTCTCTGTCTCTCTCACTATCTATAGCTCTACCTGTTAAATAAATAAATAAATAAAAAGAAATTTTAAAAAAATACAAAAGGCTCAGGGCCCCTGCAACACTGTACTGGAAAAAGTAAGTTCAGGCAGCACTGTGTTCTGTGCTGGCCACGGTTGCAGATGCTTCATGTCTACGTGTTCACTCACCCGCTTGATACTTTAAAAAGATGTATTTATTTATTTGAAAGGCAGAGTTATACAAACACACACATACACACACACACACACAGAATGAAAGGTCTTCCATCTGATCATTCACTCCCCAAATGACCGCAATGGCCAGAGCTGAGCTGATCTGAAGCCAGAAGCCAGGAGCTTCTTCCGGGTCTCCCATGTGGGTATAGGGGCCCAAGGACTTGGGCCATCTTCTACTGCTTTCCCAGGCCATAGCAGAGAGCTGGATCGGGAGTGGAACAGCTGGGTCTCGAACCAGCGCCCTTATGGGATGCCAGCGCTTCAGGCCAGGGTGTTAACCTGCTGCGCCACAGCGTGGGCCCCCCACCTGATGCTTTTGAACCATTCTGCAGATGAGGAAATGGAGGCACAGAGTACTAAGAGCCACACCAGCTAATAAGTGGCAGAGCTGCAGCTCAAACCCAGGGAGTTTCCTGAGAGCAGGTCAGCAGTATGAATCACGGAGGCTGTACTCCCAACGTTAGTTGCTAGTCTTTTGCCACATCCCATCCAAAAAGGGTAACTGGAAAACACATCGGTTTTTAAGCCAGGCAAACCTGGACCCAAATCTGGGTTCAATTCTTTATCAGCTGTATGCTTTCTATCAAGTTACTTGAAATATCTGATGCTTAGTTTTCCTCATCTGTAAAATGGGAACCTGTCTCAGAAAGTTGCTGTGAGAATCAGCTGCACTCAGCCGTGAAAACACCAGTATGTATTTTCAGGGTTTTCAGATTCACTAGGCTTGGCCTCAGTGGACATTCTCCTTTCGTGCTTTTTTCATTACCAAAATGATTCACCAGACTCAGAATCATTCCTGACTACGTGCTAAGGATGCTGTTCATAAGAGGTTTGGGGATGGTTCTATGCTGTAATTCTCTTTCCTCTGTTTTTTCATCTTTTCCTCTCATATTTTCCTCCCTCTTTTCTGCCCCTCATTTCCTATATGGGTGTTATATATATATATATATATATATATATATATATATATATTGCCTTTCCCTAAATCGATTGTGAACTGAGAAGGTATGGACAACAGTTTAGGTGCTAACACAATGAAGTCATGAAGATAACAGAACCATTCGCATCCAGTACCGACAAAGATGGGCAATACAGGCACTCTAGTGCTGATGGCTGAGAAATTGATGGATTTGGCAGTGATGAATGAAAAGAAACAGAAGTGTGTGGCTGCTGTGTGGTGTGGCAGTTTGAGCCACTTCCTACAATGCTGGCATCCCATATCAGAGCACTGGTTTGAATCCTGGCTGCTCCACTTCTGATCCAGCTCCCTGCAAATGCACCTGGGAAAGCAGTCAAGTATGGTCCAAGTGCTTGGGCCACTGTTCCCACATGGGAGACCCAAAGAAGCTTCTGATTCCTGATTTTAGCCTGGTCCAGTTCAGGCCATTGCAGCCATCTGGAGAATGAATCAACAGATGGAAGATCTCTCTCTCTCTCCTCTCTCTGTTGCTCTACCTTTCAATAAATATATATATTTTAAAACACATTTTTAATATATTTAATTTATTTATTTACTTGAGAGGTAGAGTTACAGAAAGAGAGATGGAGGGAGAGACAGAGAGAGAAATCTTTCATCTGCTGGTTCACTCCCCAAATGGTCACAACAGCTGGAGCTGAGCCGGTCTGAAGCCAGGAGCCAGGAGCTTCTTCTGGGTCTCCCACGTGGGTACAGGGGCCCAAGCAATTGGGCCATCTTCTTCTGCTTTCCCAGGCCACAGCAGAGAGCTGGGTCAGAAGAGGAGCAGCCAGGACACAAACCAGCACCCATATGGGATGCTGGTGTTGCAGGTGGAGGCTTAGCCCTTCAAATAAATGTATTTTAAAAGGTACAGCAGTGTGCACACACTCTTTGATCCAGAAAGACTGCTTCTAGGAACTTGTTCCGGGAAATAATTATTTACAGGACATTTGTATCAATTAACTTTTGCTACATAACAAATAACTCCTACTTAAAAGATTAAAACAACAAACATGTATTACTTTTCATGTTCTGTGTTGATTGGGTAGTTCTTCAGGACTGGGCCAGCCCAGCAGGAGCTGGGAGGCCTAGGATAGCTTGTTAAGGTCTTGCTTCCATGTGTCATAGGAACACTGTCTTCATGTGGCCTCTCTTCCGGCAGGAAGGGTGGTCTTGGAATTCTCAGCAACAAAAATGTGGCAAGCTCCAGAACACAGGTTTTTAAGCCTATGCTCACATCATATTTGCTAGTGTCCCCATTGGGCAAAGCAAATTACAGGGTCAAGTCCAGATTCAGAAATGGAGAAGTAGAATTTATTTTTTCTTTTCTTTTCTTTTCTTTTTTTAATTTTATTTATTTATTTGAGAGGTAGAGTTACAGACAGTGAGAGTGAGAGACAGAGAGAAAGGTCTTCCACCCACTAGTTCACTCCCCAAATGGCCCCAATGACCAGAGCTGAGCCGATCCGAAGCCAGGAGCCAGGAGCCAGGAGCTTCCTCTAGGTCTCTTGCTTGGGTGCAGGGACCCAAGTGCTTGGCCCATCCTTTACTGCTTTCCCAGGCCACAGCAGAGGGCTGGCTCAGAAGAGGAATAGCAGGGACTAGAACTGGAGCCCATATAGGAAGCCAGCGACGCAGGCAGAGCATTAACCTGCTGTGCCCCAGCGCTGGCCCCTATTTTTTTCTTTTCTTTTCTTTTTTTTTTTTTTAGTGATTTTTTTTTTGACAGGCAGAGTGGACAGTGAGAGAGAGAGACACAGAGAGAAAGGTCTTCCTTTGCCGTTGGTTCACCCTCCAGTGGCCACTGCGGCTGGCGCGCTGCGGCAGGCGCACCGCACTGATCCGATGGCAGGAGCCAAGTACTTATCCTGGTCTCCCATGGGGTGCAGGGCCCAAGCACTTGGGCCATCCTCCCCTGCACTCCCGGGCCACAGCAGAGAGCTGGCCTGGAAGAGGGGCAGCCGGGACAGAATCCGGCGCCCTGACCGGGACTAGAACCCGGTGTGCCGGCGCTGCTAGGCGGAGGATTAGCCTAGTGAGCCGTGGCTCCGGCCCCTATTTTTTTCTTTTTAAAGATTGATTTCATTGAGGGTCAGCAGGGTTGTGGCACAGCAGTTTAAGCCACTTCCAGGGATGCCAGCATCCCATACAGGGCCCGGTTTGTATTCTGGCTGTTCCACTTCTTACCCAGCTCCCTGCTAATGAGCCTGGGAAAGCAGGGAGGATGGCCCAAGTGCTTGTGTCCCTGTCACTTATGTGGGAACCTGGATAGAAGTCCAGGCTCCTGGCTTTGGCCTAGTCCGGTCCTGGCCAATGGGGTCATTGGGGGAGTGAAGCAGTGAATAGTCTCTCTCTCTCTCTCTCTCTCTCTCTATCTCTATCTCTATCTCTGCCTTTCAAACAACATGAATAAATCCAAAGATGGGAACTGGAGCTGCTGGCACCCATATGGAAGATCTTACTCTGTCTCTCCTTCTCTGTCTTTCTCTCTCTTAAATAAATGAATAAATAAATATTTCTTAAAACTAGATGTATTTAATTGAAAAACAGAGTGAAACAGCAAGACAGACAGAGAGATCTTTTTTTTTTTAAGATTTTTTTTTTTATTGGAGAAGTAGAGTTACAGACAGTGAGAGGGAGAGACAGAGAGAAAGGTCTTCCGTCCGTTGGTTCCACTCCCCAATGGCCGCAACGGCTGGAGCTGCACCGGTCTGAAGCCAGGAGCTTCTTCCGGGTCTCCCACGTGGGTATAGGGGCCCAAGGACTTGGGCCACCTTCTACTGCTTTCCCAGGCCACAGCAGAGAGCTGGATTGGAAGAGTAGCAGCCAGGACTAGAACTGGCGCCCACATGGGATGCCGGCGCCGCAAGGAGGATTAACCTATTGTGCCACAGCGCCGACCCCAAGGAGAGATCTTCCATCTGCTGTTATATTCCCCAAATGCCAATAGCAGCCAGGGCTGGGCCAGGCCAAAGCCAGGAGCCTGGAACTCCCTCCAGCCCTCCCATGTGGATGGCAGAGACCAAGCACTT